AGATCCGCCTGCCTCTGCCTCCCGAGTGCTGGGATTAAAGGCGTGCGCCGCCACCACCGCCCGGCTGTTTTTTCATTCTTGACTCAACACTAATTTTACTATTTTTTCTCATTTAAAATGTCTTTCAATGAGTGTAGATTTAGTGTTACACAGTTCAAGACAGGAAATTTTAGAATTTGTGGAGTAGTGCAAGTTTAGTAAACAAATGTGGCCTATATGTATAGTTCTTGACTCTGGGGTTCTTTTTGTTGTTTTGTTTTTTTAAGACAGGATCTCTCTACATAGCTCTAGCTGTCCTGGAGCTCACTCTGTAGACCAGGTTGGTCTCAAACTCACAGAGATCCGCCTGCCTCTGCCTCCTGAGTGCTGGGATTAAAGGTGTGCACCACACCGCCAGGCAGGCTTTTTTCCCTCCTGGGTTGGGGAGGGGTTATTCAGTGGTTGTTGAGGGAGACAAGCAGCCCAAATGAGACAACAGTGCAAGGTTCTGAAATATTAGTTATTACATGGATGTTACTGGTGTTTTAGCAAACAGAATTTAGGAATGCCCTTTGGGTAAGAGAAGTGTTGGTTTTAAGTTTTACTCTAAAGAATGTCTCAAAAAAAAAAAAAAGTCCAGCTGGGCAGTGGTGGCACACAACTTTAATCCCAGCACACGGGAGGCAGAGCCAGGCGGATCTCTGTGAGTTCGAGGCCAGCTTAGTCTACAGAGCGAGATCCAGGACAGCACCAAAACACCACAGAGAAACCCTGTCTCGAAAAAAACAAAAAAAAAAAAAAAAAAGTCCTACTGTGGTGCACACCTACAGTAGCAGCACTTGGGAGGTGGAAGCAGATCTGGAGTTCAAGGCTAGCTTCAGCTACTTGGTTTGAGGCCACCTTGGGCTACATGAGACACCGCTCTAAGAAAAAAGTCTCAGGACTTCAGCAGCCATAGTGGTACTACTTTGAAACTTTAGGGGTTTTGTTTGTTTTGTTATTTTGTTTTTGGTCCTAGAACTCACCATGCAGCCCGGACTGGCCTCAAATTCGTGTAGTACTGCCCAAGTGCTGGAATTGTAGCCTGGATACCGTGCTGGTTACTTGAAACTTAAGAAAGGTTTTCCCTCGCATATTTATTTTGATAGTTTAATGGTGTGGTACTTTCTTTTTCTCTTCCTTAAATGTATTTATTTTTGAGGTGGTCTTCTGGCCAAGGTAGGCCTCAAACTCAGTAAGTAGCCTGATAATGATGGACTTTTTACCTTCCTCCTGACTCCACCTCCTGCATGCTAGGATTATAGACATGAGTCACCACGCCCGGTCTTCTGCAGTGCTGGGGGTTGAACCCTGGGCTTTGCACATGCTAGACAAGTACTCTACCAACTGCTATATCCCTGTCTTGGCTACTTGAAACTTTTACATTAATAGCTACTATCATTTACTTGCCTGAGGGAGAAGAATAGTGGATCTGATTTCTTCTCTTTGTTCCTACAGCTATACTACCAAGTCCTAAATTTTGGAATGATTGTCTCCTCGGCACTAATGATCTGGAAGGGGCTGATGGTGATAACCGGAAGTGAGAGTCCAATTGTAGTGGTGCTCAGGTAACACTGTTCTTCTTCAAAACAGAATTGCTGGGGTTACTTGGGAGAAAAATAGAGGTATTCAATCAATAAATAGTTGTGTACCAGTTCCTTAGAAACTATTACCTAGGAGAGAGCCCAGAAGGAAATCGGTTTCTACTCAGTTGTAAGAAATACCATGGGAAGTGTTTCCATTCTGAACCCCAAAGGACCCATATCCTTTTCTTTAAAAACAATTGTTTTTAATTATACGTAT